AGAAATACAAAGAAATTAACAATGCCAAAGAAAATGGGGGAATAAACATGTTAGAAAAAACTCAAAGAAGAAACATAGATCAAGCCAATACCAGAGAAATTCAAATGACAGAGAAATTTACAGACAAAATCACATAAACATCTTCACGATTAAATTTAAAACTTAGAGAAATAACATTTTTTAAATTCATGTAACTTTTTATTACTAAATTGAAACCCTAATAAATGGAAGGCTAATATAATATGCAATTAGCTGTGTTTCTAGAGAAAAACTCGTTGGATTGTAGAAAACTTACCAGAGTGATGATGAAACCCTAATTACGAATTGATATGCCTTGAGATGAAGATAAACTGAGATGACGATGACTAGTGAAAACGGGTCAGAGAAATTTGTGAGGAAGGAATATAAAAGATTTTGGCAGAAGATAATGAAACTGTAATGTCGATAGTGAAGATGATTGTGAAACCCTAATTCCCTTGTTCTCTTGCTTGTGAAGATGGCTAGATTTTTGGAATGGAACTTAGTCGTTGGAATCAAGTGGAGTGTTCTTAGTTGATTTGTGAAGGGTATTTTGGTCCAAGAAAGAATTAAAAATGCGCGCGTTCAATTGAGGGACCTTATACATCCTTTTTTTTGGTGTCCTCTATCCTTTAAATTACAATTATTAGAGATCTTTAAAAAAAATCCCCTTTAATAAACCATTGAAGATGGTCTTAGATCATTTTTATTTTTAAATAACTATTCATGTATTATAACATATATGTGACTTAATCCTGCAATGTGATCAATTTAAATTTTTATATACATATTATTCTGAACTTGTTAACTATTCAAATCATTAACATGAGTATAAATTAATTTTTTAAAACAAAAATATAATATAATATAAATTAATTTGACGCACTAATTTCATCTATAAAATTAAAATTTTCAATTTTAACTTGAATCGAAATTTCTTCATGTAAGTCAAGCAAGTCAATCAACTTTATTTTGACAGACAGTTTTGTCAAACTCCACCCCCACCCCATGAAAGTCTTCGCATATCGTCCTTGCATAGTCTCACTTGCAGAGCTCCCTTGCAACGGCTGTAGATTCTACCGTTGCACGATCCGTGGTCCACAAAAAAAAAAAAAAATTGAAATTTCACTTTCTCTCCGCATGTTGCAATAGTTACACATTCTAGCACATCACACTCCCTTTCACTCAACCTCGCACTCACTCGTCCTCCTCCACCGAATCCACCCTCACTGGCGACCAGTCCCCTAGACGGCACCAGCGACCCACTCCAGCCCTAATAGTCTCTGCTTCATGAACCATAGCTCCACCGCGACCACCATCGGCTGAGCGAAGGAATTTGTTGATGAGAATGTGGGTGCTGAAGCCATAGAGGAACCAGGCTTGTATTCGAAACTCTGAAATTAAGGAGTGACAAAATAGATTAGGGTTGTGTGATTGAGATTGACAAAATAGATTTTAAATTTCAAAATTAGGGCTTTGATTTGGGATTGGAACAGTGAAAAATTAAGGCTTTCACTGTGAATTTAGAGCTTTCACAATGAAAAAAATTAGGGCTTTCACAGTTTTGGCTAAGATTTTGTGGGTTTTGGATGAATTAGTTTGTCAAATTGATTAATTTTTTACTTGATTTTGTAAAGAATTGTTGTAGAGTTGAACTTAAGTTTAAAAACTAATTAGTTTGTTTTTGAAATTAGTTGAACTTAAGAATTGTAAATTATAGTTGAAAAACACATTATAGTTGAACTTAAGTTTTGTGTTTGAAATTAGTTTGTTTTGTGTTTGAAATTATAGTTGAACTAATGCTATGTTCTGTGTTTGAAAAACAGTGTGTTCTGTGTTTGAATTTGAAATTATAGTTGCTCTATATATAAACAACTGGAGTGAGTGTTTTGTGAAACATCAGAACTTGTGTAATAGAGCATCAGAACTGGAGTGAGTGTTTTGTGCAACATCAGAGCTGGAGTGAGTGTTTTGTGAAACATCAGAATTGGAGTGAGTGTTTTGTGAATTTGAACTAATGCCAAGCCTCTAATGAATTAAAGTGAAACATCATAACTTGTTTCCTTGGTATAAGTAGCCACTAAAGTTTACAAGTAGCCTATCTAAAGGACAATAAAGGCCATCTATATTAGTATTTCATAGAGATAGGAAACAACACCAACAGTGTAATAGAGCAATGTGATATGTATATTATTAAATTTGTAATTGTCCCAAATATTTAAATAGATAGAAACAGAATTAACAATGTATATCAAGTTAATACTCTTCTTTACATGCAACTGTATTTCTCATCTAGAGAGACAAATAAAATTGAGAGAACAAGAATGACTCTTGAAACCATCTTTCTCAGGTGCAATTCTATTCCTCAACTGCAATTCTATTTGTCAAGTGCAATTCTACAACTGATCAGTTGTCTGAAAAACTTAACCAATTAAGAAATAAATGTAATAATATATATCAACTAACACATATAATGCAACTTAAACAAGATCAAGATTTGAATACAAAAGTAAAAGTGTTTGAGAAAAGTTACAAATCAAACTTTGTAAGTGAGTTAAGAACTAGGTAAGAAACAATGAGTGTTGAAACAATGAGTCCTCACATTTTACCCAAATGAGAATTACTTTTAAGTTTGGCTGAAATTGAAGATGTTACAGTCACTCTCAAATTGAAGATGCTACACTAGCTGTTCCATATTGTTCCATTTTTAGTGAAGATATAAAAATTTTCTCATGTATGCAGATTTAAAAAATGGCTTCTTCTTCTAACATTAGCAACATAAGATTACAATCGAGGCTGTGCAATTGTGAAAGAACTGCTGCCATACATATTGTAAGAATCAATGAGAATGGAAATCAAGGGCATTTGTTATTTGTTTGCCCATTAAGATATGTAAGTTTGTAATTCTAACTATTTTCTTCCTTTAGTAGTCACATTAATATTTGTCTTATTCGACTAACTGATTCTCATGCATTGCAGAGTAACACTCTCACTCTCCATTGCAATTACTTCAAGTTCGTGGATGAAAATGATGAAGACGTTACGTCCAGAATCCGTTCGAACAATACAACTTGTGATAATATAACTGTAGAAGACTTTAACGATGTAAGGACGAGGCTTGATTACATGGAAACTGACTATGGTCGAAGGCTTCAAAGGATGGAAAATAATATCAAAGCGATGGTGTACTTTATTGTATTTTCTATCATTTTGTACTTTATGATGTAACTTTTGTACTTTATTGTATTTTGGGAAACTGAATTGAAGTTTGTACCATTTTGGGTTTGATGTACATCAACTTGTTATCTATTATCTGTTATGGAATGAACTATGGAATGAATTATCTATTATCTATTTCCCTCAACTTGTGGCCTCAACTTTGGAATGAATGATGGAATGAATGAATGAATGAATAATGGAATTTTGGAATGAAGTATGGCACATTATCTGCTGAATTTTGGAATGAATGATGGAATTTTAAGTTCATCTATTAAGTTTATCTGTTATCAGTATGACACATTTTGGTTTAACAACAGATCCAGACCAAAACCAGTAGCACATTCTGAGTATGGCAGCAACAGATCCAGCATTAGCAGCATGATGTTCTGTTACCAGTTTATCTGTTACCAGCATTAGCAGCATCATGTTATGTTAGTCAGATTCAGCATAAACTTTCTATCTATTATCTGTTACCAAGTCTATCTATTATCTGTTACCATGTTCTGGTTCTGAGTAGGGCAGCAGCATGAAGCTGTAGGAGAAACATTTATCAGTATGGCAGCAGCAGATCCAGACCAGAACCAGCACCAACATGTATGGTTCTATCATTAACATACCACATCCAGCAAACCAGAACCAGTATACCAGAACCAATACAAACCAACATACTAGAACATAACAGAACCAACATACCAGAACCAATACAAACATGGACACCAGATGGGATAATTTAAAAAATGAAAAGGCTGGGACAACAGCACAGAACAAAACAGAACTGTAGATTAACACCAAAACAGAACAGGATTTTTTGAACATAACAGAACAGAACAGAACCAACATGGACACCAGTTAAATGCAGTTCCAGCAAAATTAAAAAAAAAATGGACAGCAGCACAACATATGGAATAAATTTTCTAACAAATGAAAAAGCTGTGTAAATTAACATCAACTATAAAGTAACATTATTAGCATACAAGCCATTAACATTTGGAAAGATTCAACATGTTGTGCTCACATTTGTCCATCTAAATTAACACATTGGTCCACACATACAAGTCATTAACATTTGGAAACACAGGTACACAGAGTTTGTTTCACAATTTGAACACACAGTTTGCTTGTCTTTCTGTTTCACATTGAGCTGCTATGACTTCATTTTCCAGGCAAATTTCAGCTTCAGTTTGCTTGTCTTTCTGCTTGTCCATAGCCTAAAATGGAAAAAGACAGAATTTTGCAAAATTTTCAGCAACTAAATACATACTTTACATAGAAATTTCAACAACTAAAAAGCCACAATTTTCATCAACTACAAAATAAAAATACAGAGAGGACAAACCTGACTACACATTGGACTGTTTGATTCTTGAGAATATCGAAACCCACCTTCGAATCTGCTTCGAATCCACCTTTGACCCTCCTTTTGCCCTTACTAGTTGCCACCTTTTTTTCAATCCTTTTGGTTGCACAATATGATTCACATCTTCGCAATCCACTTCAACGCTTTTGGTGTCATCATCATTAATTACTTCATTTTCAACACCAAATTGAGCACTTAACTTGCCTTCAACATTTGCACCTAATGTAGCAAGATGTGCAATACAAAAATCATAAGTTTCTTTAGTTTCAGCAGCTCTACTTTCTAGTGCTCTAAATGCGGTCATCAATGTCTTATACCGCGAGACTTGTTGGAATTTCACATCTAGTTAAATGTCCTTCCCCTTAATGTCCTTCCCCTTAATGTCCTTCACAGTTTCGGCTCTTGCTTATTTGGTCCACCTCTTTAGAATGTATTGCGGAGGAACCTCTTTCATCTTCAATATGTCTCTAATGACCTTCAATGAGTGACAACACAAGATTCCTTCCCTTTCAAACTTTGTACAATTACAACCCAAAGAGCCATCCCTCTCCATCTTCACTTTCCTTGCATGTTTGTTACCAACATCAACAACTGTGTAAATGGTACTAGCCTCGCCATATTCAACTGCTTTTATTTCCGATTCAATGGATCGAAAGTACTCATTTTGAAATTCCTCAAAAATCTTTTTTGTGTAGACATTACCCATTTGAATTAACATTCTTATTGTTGCTTTCACCTTTGGCAACCTTTGGTACAAAGCATATCCTGCTTCTATTCTCGTAAAGTACCCTTTCAAAATGCATGGAGAATTCATTTAAGTTAAAATCAGAACGAATGCATTCCTTCAAAAAAAGCATTAAAAGATTCACTAAGTTGTGTAGTACTCATTCTCGCAGCCCATGTTGATCTAACATATGGCCAGCCCCATTTTTCTTTCACCGCAAAAGTCAATTTCAACCAATGGTTTTCATGCGCATCATATTTATCAAGCATTTCCGCCCACTCTAAGTTCCATTGATTTGCATCTTCAATGTCAAAGAAGAATTTATTTAGTACACCCTTTACCCCCTTATCTTGGAACAAACAATTAACATGTTTTAATGCATTTTGCATCAAATGCCAAGTACACAATCGGTGACTTGTGTCAGGCATAACGATGGGTATGGCTTTAGCCATTGCAGCATCTTGATCAGTGAACAAAGTTTTTGGTGCCTTTCTTGACATAGCCTCCAGAAAATTTTGAAACAACCATACAAACGATTCGGCGGTCTCATCATATAACAAGGCTGCACCAAATATAACTGTTTCCCTATTATGGTTGAATCCCACAAAAGATGCAAACGGTCTATGTTCTTTGTTTAACTTGTAAGTCATATCAAATGTGACAACATCACCAAATTAGGCATAATCCATGATTATTTGTGCATCAGCCCAAAACATATTAGTTATTTGCTCCTCATTATCCAACTGGAAAGCATAAAAGAAGGAAGAATTCTGCAAAGACTTTTCTTTAAAGTATTACAACACATTGCCTACTTCCCCATATGCTAAACTTTGTTGTCTTTTAGTTCTCAAATAATTTTTTGGATCTAATTTTGTAAACCCAAGACATTGCCTCCTACCAGCTTCCCTACCCATGAGTTCAAAAGACTGGCCTAAACGAAGACCAGATTGTGCCGCCAAATCTAACTCAGTTGCTTGGGTAGTCGATATCTTTCTTTATGACGGCAACATGTGGGCACACTCGGGTGATACAAGATCATGGTTGTGCTTCTCTTTGAAATCAGTCACAACATATTTCCCAGTACCCTCATCTAATTTAACATAAAGTCGAGTCTCACAACCGGTCCTAGTTTCAGCTCTAGGGTTTTTTGACAATGGGTCTCGTTTGTCAACCTTCTGAAATCCCTCCTTGTTGTAAACCAAAAGTCTACAAATAAGTTGGTTAGTGAACTTGTTCTTCCTACAAAAATCCCTTCTTATGATAAACCTCATTCTTCCTCCATATGTATTATAAAAATTATACACACATTATTCAGAATCAAATGTCATTCCCTATTTTGGCTTCCAAGCACAATCATTCTTAGGTTCCATATCCATATGAAAATGCAACTAAAAACCCATATAAATAAAATCTTAGCTACATAAATAAAATTTTAATTACATAAAAAAACACAATATCTGCACTATCATCAAAGAACCCACTGTCACACTTGGATAAAGAAATAAGAAATGAGAACTAAATATCTTTAATAATAAATACACAGGGTTTGGCAAGTCTAAAAATTATATGGGCTCAATTTCTGAAATCATTTGCATTAAATATCTTTAATATGCAGAATAATGCATTGGCATAATTCAATTATGGATGCACATGGCAGAGTGTGTTAGCATAATTAATAAGATAATCTAATATACTCATTCTATAATTATCAATGAATATTGCCTACATCAAGTTGAAAGTAGATTAGTGGCCAATTCTAGAATATAGCATATACCTAAAAGTTCAAATGAATGTCAAACTGATTGAACTAGATGATATATAATAGATTTGTAATTTAGAAACATATTTCTAATTTGCCTCAACGGTATTGAACAACAGATCATCCATTTTTGAATCAGTTGAATGCCTCAACCTGATATTCAACATAAACATAAATTTTAGATCATCCATTTTAAAAAAAATTGATTTGTAAACTGATATTCAACGGTAAATTGAGCGGCAGGTGGTGTATTAAAAAAATGGATGATCAGTTTGAGGCATTCAATACCGTTGAATCAGATCATCCTAAATTAGAAACTTATTCAACACCGTTGAGGCATTCAACTAGATGACATCACCGAGGGAAACATCACCAAACTGATTTCCAATTTGCAATTTATACACATATTCATTTTTTTGTGTTTTATTATATGTTATCAGTAGTGATTAGAAACATATTCGTTAAAATTTAAATTTGGAAAACCTCTGATTTACAGAGACAAGGGGAATTGATCTCTGGTTTCACCGTCGTCGGTCCTTGCAACGGCGTCGAGACTGGGTAGACTGGGTAGACTGGGTCGCCACCGGTATTGGGTCGCCGTCTGGGGTGGGTTCATGGACAAGAAAGAATGAGTGTGTGTTTTTGTGTTTCGCCACGAAAATCTGTCTATACGCTGTGCTTTGTTTTGGGCGGGAAGAAAGTGAAATTTCAAATTTTTTTTTTTTGTGACTGTTGGATGTGCAACGACTGATCTCAGTCATTGCACGGAGGCTTGCAAGTATGGCTTGCAAGGAGAGGATCCGAACTCCACCCCCACCTTCACCTTCACCTTCACCTCCACCTCCACCTCCACCTCCACCTCGCTCACCAAATATTCCGCAAGAACTCCCTCCCATACGCAAAGGTTCTCTTAGCTCGTCCCCAGTTCAATTGCCTCCTTCCACCATCTCCTCCACCGCTGTTGACTCCATCACCACCACCACCACCGAGATCTCTAAACATGTCTCTTAGATCAAGACCAACACCACCTACCACTGAACCATCCACCACCGATCCAGCCACCACCACCACCATAAAACCCCCTCCGCCACCTCCCTCTGCTGTATCTCAAACCCTAGCAATCATAGCCAACCTAGCCAACCTCCTCCCAACAGGCACTCTCCTAGCCTTCCAACTCCTCACCCCAATCTTTACCTCCAACGGCGCCTGCGACTCCGCCACTGCCTCCCTCACTCTTCTCCTCATCTTCCTCCTCTCCGCCTCCTGCTTTCTCACCTTCTTCACCGACAGCTTCAAATGCTCGTCCAACAACCAAATCTACTACGGATTCGCAACAATCAAAGGCATGTTCTTCTTCAATTATCCATCTTCTTCTTCAAATGGAATTCCAGATCTCAGCAAGCATCGCCTCAGATTTATCGATTGGGTTCATGCAATTCTGTCTATGCTTGTGTTTGGTGCTATGGCTTTTAGAGATAAGAATGTGGTGAAGTTCTTGTATCTGAGTCCTGGACATGAAACTGAGGAGGTTCTAGACATTGTTCCGATTACGATTGGGTTGATCTGTACCTTGTTGTTTGTTGTGTTTCCTACTAGAAGACATGGGATTGGGTACCCTATTTCTCTATAAATAGGCAAATGTTTCTCTCTCATTTTTGAATATTTTGTCTGAATTAAGTACTATGTTCCCAAAACTACTATGAATTATGAAAATTTATGGTGTGAATTTAAACTTCTTGCTGCAATAACAAAATCAGAATACATCTTCTTTGTAAATATTAACTTGTGTTAGACAATCTCCCACCTTTACTCAAATTTGTTATTAAATTTAAATTTGATGGAAAAATGTTAAGTGAATTCCACCGATTTGATATCAAATAGAGGGACTAGTAAATATTTCATCAAATGGAGGGAGATTTGATCCTTCATCAAATTTAAATTGTTACGGTTTAACAGGATGTTATAATTTGACAATTTTTTTTCATCTCTGGATGACGTCTAGTACATTTGTTCGAACGTCCTTCCAGACAATTAGAGAGTAAAAAAAATTAATGAAAATTTTAATTTTAGTATTAGAGTAAACGATATTAAATCAAAATTTTTATTTAAATTTAATGAAATTTTTTATTCAACAGTGTAGATGTTCTTAAAAAGTTTGGTTTAACACCTGCAATAATGGAAGGGTTAAAGTCATTATTCTTAAAGGTTAAAGTTATAATTCTTAATAGTGTACGGATCTCAGTCTAAGGCTAAGTTTGGCTATCCTAAACAAGTATACATTTTTTATCTTTTTTTCATCGCATCATCTCTCTACTTTTCTGCACATCTTTTCGTAAAAAGACAAAAAGTACACTTATTTAGGTCATCCCAAACAACTCCTAAATGACTCTTTTATAAATGGATAGGTCGAGCTGGGGTGGGTGAAACTCTTTATTCCGTATCCAACTTAAATATTAAATGAATATAAAATCTTAGGTCTATTTTGAGAAGATGATACAAAGTAGTTTTTTTTTGTTTTTAATTGAGTTTTTAGCTTTTTTAGAAAAATGATTTTGGAAGTTGATAAAAAGTTAGTTTTGGCTTTTTTGATTAATATTTGTTTACGATGTCAAATCATAATAAAATGGTCAAACTACCCCCATTAATTTAAAATATTTACAACTTCACTCATATAGCACATTTTGACTCATGAGGGGTAGAATTGTAATTTCACTAATAGCTAAAAACCAACTCCCCAAATAAAAAAAAAATATATATAAAAAAGCCAACTTTTAACTTTTGGTACAAATAAAAAAAGGTTACTAAAAGCAACTTCCCAAAATAGCACTTAATTAGTTCGTCCAATAGACAATAATTTTTTCAAATTTTAAAAATACCCAACTGAATTGGACGGATTGAACGGGCTACCACACAATGTCGACCCCTAATTACGATTACTGCCCGCTTGTCTGAGCAATGAGCATCATTTTTACGTGACAGAAACTAACCATGAATAAAAAAAAAAGAAAAAAAAGAAAGGTTATAAATTACCTATGTTGTTATGGGATTTAAATCATGACTAAATTTTGGCTCAAGATTATAAACTCTAAATAACTGAAAGTGATTGATTGCGTGATAAATTAAAAATTAATACTTATCATTTTATATCATTATAAATAAATTAGAAAAAAAAAATTTCGAAAATGTCTCGTAGCTTGAAAGGGTCGAGCTCGAAACGGCTTGAAAATGGAAGAAGAGGGGAGAAAGAGAGGGAAGAGGAGGAGAGAGGGAGAAAGAGAGAGGAGAGGGCTCGTCGCCGATCGTCGCAGCAGACCGTCACCTCGCCCAGCCCCGGTCGTCTGTCCAGCCCCGCCGACGTCGCAGCACCACCGTCATCTGCCCAGCCTCCCCTCCTCCTCCAACCGATTTTTATGGCCCCCTCCCCTCCCTCCTCCTCGTCCTCCCCTCCCTCCTCGTCCTCCCTTCTCTTCTTCTCCCTTCTTCTTCTTCGTTCTGTAACAAAACCAGGGAAGAAAGAAAGAAAAAAAAAAAAAATTCGACACCAAAACGACGTCGTTTTGGTGTCGAGTTGCGATTTCGAGCCGCGGTTTCGAGCTACGTAGCATGGTCGAAAAAATTTACAAAAAGGAAAGATTTCCGATTCACTTTTGGATTGAAAGGTTACTGTTGACAGTCATGGGGCGTATCATAGGTTTTATTTTGTTTGATTTTAGAGTTATGTTAGGGATTCTAAATAAATTATCAAATTTTCTATCAAACCTCTCACATGGGTGTGGGTTCCATACTCATGTGAAACGTTTGGTAAAAAATTTGGTAATTCATTTGAGGTCCATAGAACTTTTCTTGATTTTATATGTAAATCATTCACAAAAGAACTTAAGTTGATTTGATACTCAAAGCTATTTCATTTTAGGATAAATTATAAATACATTAATTGAGGTTTGCTTAAAATACAAATTGTCCTCTTATGGCTCTGAAAATTACATTTCATCTCTTAAAGTTTTTAATTTAATAATAAATGACATCTTTTATTAATAAATTATTAAGTCAATTAGCAATTTGCAATAATGTTATAAATTTATTTCATTTAATAATTTAGGTAATTATATTGTTAACCATTAGAAATTCTATTTTTTCGGTTAGTTTTGTTAAATAAAAAATTCTGACAAATGATATTTGTAATTTTTCAAACAACAGGAATAATTTGTATTTTAAGTAAACTTCGGAGAGTGTATGTGTTGGCTACATATTTTGTAAAAGACCAATTACAGTTCGACGCGTGGCAGAGTAAGGGTAATATATGAAGACTGTTCAAGTCTTCGATCCTGATCGTACACGTGACAGTTGATATTGTCTATTGCGTGGTCCGAGTAACATTGGATCAGCAAAAAGATGCAAGGTGACGTGGCTTCCGCAGTTACTCACATTCAAATTCAAATATAGGAGGGAAGCTTAACTGCAAGTGATGGCGTAGTGGAACTACTTGTAAGGCAGCATGATCAGTGATCACGGAGGAGCAGTTCGACAGTTTGAAGTACAGTTCGATGGTCATCTTTCAGAAGTATAAATAGCAGGGAAGCCCCCAGAAAAGGCCCAAACTCAGATTCAAAGAAACCAGTCATACTTTACATATTTCGTTCCAGTTTTTATATTTCCTGTACTTTAAATTCCTGCACTGCACTTCATTCATAGGAGTAGTTTCAAGTAGATTGTCGCTGTAAACCTCTACGAGGCTGAGTTTGGATCATTGTAAGTTTTTCATACTAATGAAATGCTTCAATTGCTCTTTATTTAACTGTTCTTGTGCTTAAATTCTCCTAAATCAAGCCACCAGTGAAAGTCCTCGTCATTGAGGCTGAAAGAACTACAATACAATCGTCTGATAATTGGTTGGCAATCAAAATTCTGTAAGGACTGATTGATCCTTGCTGGCACGCTCATAGTTACAAAAATAACCTTCGAAAGCCAAAAAGCCAACATATATTTTTGACACGCCCAGTGGGACGCATTTAAAATGGCTAGACGTAGGAGACAATGAGAAAATGAACGCTTGGAAGAAGACGTGGAAGGAGAGGTAGAAATACCTAATCCAAAGGATAATGTGATAACACACCCTATGAAAACTCTTATTTTATCGGAACCTATGGTCGAACAGACCAGTACTTCAGAACAAATACCATCTGTTCGTAATATTGGAGGAGACCAAGGAATTGGACCATCCACTGTCCCATCTACTCAGCCAGTGAATCCATGGGGTGGCCTAGTAGATGCCATGGGACAACAATTAATAAACACAATGGAAAGGTGGGCAACATCCTTTTTGGATCGAATGAATAACCACTAACCAACAAATGCAACACACATGGAGGAAGTAAATGTCCCTCAGCAAAGATTGGCTAGAGATAAACAACCTATGCAAGTTAATGGGCATTCTAATGGTCAAACTAGTAATCAGAGTCATGAAAGAGCACTACCTCAGTCTTGGTACGAACCCATTTCGAGGCCTATAGCAGGCCAAAATGCCTCAATGTTCAACAGTGAAGCCATGCAAGTTGGTGGATCTGGTCCAGTACAAGAATATGGCATAAGAATGGTTCCAAATCCTACGTTCGAAGCCATACCTGGCACTAGGGGGTACAATAATCCCTTATTCGAATTTATACCCGGGGGGTTGGAAGGTTTTTCTACAAATGGAAGGGATACGACACCTGTTCAACACCTTTCGTAGGTCCCTTTGCAGGACAGGCTCAAAGAGGTTACCCACACCCCCAACAGCAACCTGTACCACAAGGACGACCAGTCCCAAATGTACCACCCTATGGACCAAGAGGACCACAAGCACAAGTTTGTCCACCAAATCCTGTGTTTGTTCCCCCAGTAGTGGTTTAGCAGGCACAAAATATGGTCCCTAGGGACCAAATTGCTGATATAGTTAGGGAGATGTGTGGACCAATGGCTCGGGGGGTCTAAACTCCTGTGTACAGAAAACCATACCCAGAATGGGTCGATAGGGTACATGAATACCCAAGGGGTTTCAGGATACCAGATTTTGTCCTTTTTTATGGGAACGGAAACCAATCAACAGTAGAGCATATTGCTAGGTTTGCTGCTCAATGTGGTGAATTTACCAATCATGACTATATGAAGTTGAGACTATTCCCAAACTCTCTAACTGGGGGAGCATTTGTATGGTACATTAACCTTCCACCTGGCTCTATCCAGAGTTGGCAACAAATGGAAGAGGCATTTCATGCCCAATTCTTCCAATCAGAGCCAAAAGTTTCCATGGCAGACTTGGCAAGATTAAGTCAAAGGCCTGAAGAGAAGGCTACTCATTTTATTGCCAGATTTAAAAGGGCTCGAAATAAATGTAGAATAATCCTGCCAGAGCCAGAATTCGTAAGATTGGCGCAAAATGGCTTAGAGTTCAGGCTTCGAAAGAAGTTTGACTCAATAGAGTTCAGAGACTTAGTGGAACTGACTTACAAAGTATCTAGATATGAAGCATTACTAGAAGAGGAACAAGATCGAAATAATGCATCATATAGGACATACTACAAAGATCCTAATTATGAGATTGATGCAGCAGAGATTGTGGGAAAAGAGCCTATGATCTGTGACGCATTAATT